ACTACTTGGTTACCAACTCCTGCAGGGAGCACCAAGGCTCCTCCCCAAGCAGGGAGAGAAAGGAAAGCAGAGAATGACACTCAGCCTTTCCTGTCCTCGATGTTTTTCTCCTGTCCTCCCTCTGTCCTGTCTCCCTTGTGACCCCCTCTGGGTGTAAATCATCCCTGGCTTGACAAGCTCCGCCATGTGTCTGTGATCACACACCTCTGTGCTGCCTGTGGGTAGGTGGTGGGCAGAGCTAAGGTCCTGTTAACCTGGTCGCCAGAGTACAGCTGAGGTTCTAGAATACCTAGGAGCCACTCTCAAGGCAAATTAGGCCTGGCCCCTTATGGAGCTGGGAAGGGGGAGGTTTGGAGAAATGATCAGTTGTGGAGAGACATCCTCTTCCAGTCAGGAAAGATCAGCTACAGGGGAGTAGCACACCTTGGAGATGCACTTGCTCTGTCCTGTCTCGCACCAACCAGGAGAAAAATCCAGTGACCAGCAGGGAGAAGGCAAGTTGGTATCTCACGATCTCAGACAGGCAGAGCATGCCCCCTTTCTTATTTCGTCCTGGGAACGCAGGGGTTTGAAAAATCGATCTACCGAGGAATTTGCATGTTTAGGCTGTATCTGACTGTCACCTTTGTGGTTACTCACGGATTATACACAGATCTACCAGTCCCAAGTCTTGGTCACAGGACACAGCCAGCATGACCAGTCTGAGTCAATATTATTCCTTTCCAAAAAAGCAGGGGAGGGGAAGCCCTGGAGCCAGGGTAGGTGGCCTCATTGAAGTTAAGAACATGGTTTCTGCAAGTCTTTTAAGTGGAAGTGAACTCTTTGGCCTTTGCTGCACCAGAACCAGGTCCCCATGAATGAGGGAGGCCAAGGACGGCTGAGGGCTTCCGGAATCCTCACCTCACCTCCCTGTCAAGCAATAGCGCATCACCACTGGCATGCCCTTCCTGCTTTTCTCCTAGAAGAGAGAGAAGGAGAAACAGATCCAAAGGGTTCGGAGGAGGCTGGGCTAACCTTTGAGTAGCTAGAACCCAGGAGACATTGACCAGCATCAGACTGTGATGAGATTCAACCCACCAACACTTCGCTGACAAACACCTGCTGTTTCGGTGGGTTTCTAGCACATTCTTGGGTTGTAGGGAGCTATTTGGCCTCTGCAGTGAGTACCAAGGCCCCTCCCCAAACAGAGAGAGAGGAAATCTTTCCGAAATGGGTGCGTATTGACCCTAGAGTGCAATAATCGAACAACGCCAAAGTCAGTCACACCCTCCAGCTTGGTTCTGAGAATTCTGAGGTCACGAGCGGCTTCCAGACAACCCTGGGTCTGTGTACTTTTTTTTAGACTTTCAAAGCTAGGGTTCTTCCTCTTGTGTTTATTTTCCCTCAGCTCCTGACCAACTACATTTGTAAGAATCATTGACTGGCAATCACTAGCAATAAAAACTCTGGGCAGCGTGGAGACATACTCCCTCATTGTCTTGGGCTTTTGGTCTTGCTGTACATTTGCAGACAACACACTCAGGCTTTGCAAATGCTGCTGTGGAATTTGGTGGCTTCAGAAAGTTGTTGGGAAGGCATAGGCAGGATGTATTGATCTATTCTTCCACTGCAATTCGCTGAATATTGCCTTTAAGTAAAAGATATATATCTAATCTTAAATATACATATATATACATCTATGTATATATATTTCACCAAATATAAGCTGACAAACCAAGGTAGCCCTGTTCCCACGCTGTCTAATCACCCTATTAAAAGCCCAAATACAGCATTATCTGAAGAACAATCAATATTGGTGTGATAATTGAGAGACTTATGGCTAATCTAGAGAAACATGAATTGACAGAGAACATCAGCCAGTGTTTGCAGAAGATATTGGCCTGGATTTTGTTATCAGGAGAGTATCACTCATCACTATTTATTCAGAATCCTCTAAATAAAGGCTTGTCACCAGGCATCCTGGAAGTTGAGGCAGGAACAGTAGTCCAGGGACCTGAAGTGGCAGTGGGGACAAGCACTCTGGTCTGCATATCTCAGAGGGGCCTGCCGAGGTTTGTAGAAGCAGATTCCAGAACCCATCCCCACATGGTGACACTCAGAACTTCTGGGGGTGGAACCCCAGAGGCTGCCCTGCAAAGAGGTCCCCTCTGGGGTGCAGTGGGCATCAGTGCCACTCCGTACAGGAGAAGAGTGGATTCTTGCCCTGGTTCTGCAGCAGACCTGGGACATGTCCTCAGCTCCATCATGGAGACCTACACCTGCAGGTCTCCATGTTTTGGGGTTTTTTTTTATCACTTGCATACCTAATCCTGAATTGCACCCCACATCTTTAAAACAAAATTTAAAACAATAAATGAAAATAATTCTGCCTGATTTGCCTAGCTCAGAGTAAGTGAGGTAATCCAGTGAGAGGGAAGCTGAAAAGAGCCACTGCGTGATCTCACGTAAGCCTCTCCGGACGCAAGCCTCTTTATTTCCTTCTTTAGATGAGGGAGACAGGCGCTGAGAGGCTAAGTAGTTTGTGGGGTTCCACATCTTAGAGGTAGAGGAGCCCACGTTTGAATCCAGAACTTTCCATTGCGTGACAAGCTCTGAGATTTTTAGAAATCTGGCAGACTCAAACGGGAACACGTGGACCAGCAGCTTCAGCATCTCCTGGGAGTTCATGAGAAAAATAGAGTCTCAGGCCTGGCCCAGGCTGACTGCATCAGAATCCGCATGTGGATGTGCCTCCCAATGATTCCTGTGTACCTTAAGGTTTAGTAGCACTGCTGCAGAAGACTTGAGCTGGAGCGGGAGGGAGTAAGTCTCAGACAAAAAATATGGTAACCCTGCAGGCATCTTCAGAATTCAACAAAGCACGCGGTCCTCACAGAATGAGTGAAGGAAAAATGGTTAGTGCAGAGTTCTTGAGTCAAGGATCGAAGTAAGCAGTCTCCACCCTTCCTATCTGTGCTCCCATTGCAATGGAAGCCCCCCTCATTCCAAGAAGTCCAAACCCCCCAAGAAAATGGGTCTTAAGGTTAAAAAACATTGTTTTTGTGTGGATGTGTGTATTTAATTGTTAGAGATGGTACCAATACTTTCGTTGTTTTTTTTAATGAGAGAAGGAAAAATCAGGAAGAAAGAGTTTAGCAAAGCAGACACAGCCCAGCAGTTCCCATCTGAGGGCTCTTCCTTTCCTGCCTTTTGAGAGTGTCAGTACATTTCACTTGTTTCAGTAGTGATTCCAGAGGATGACCAGTTAGGAGGCAGAAGGTTCAGCTTCCAGAATACCTTTCCTATGAATGTTCATCCTCAGGTTAAATCCTGTCTTAGTCCATTCAGGCTACTGTAACAAACAAAGTAGCATAAATCCGTGCTTATAAACAACAGAAATCCATTTCTCACAGTTCTGGATGCTGGGAAGTCCAAGATCAAGGTTTGGCAGATTCTGTGTCTGCTGGGGGTCCATTCCTGGTTCATAAATAATGCCTTCTCACTGTACCCTCCCATGGGGGAAGGGTCAAGGGATCTCATTTTGGCGTCTATGATGGGGTCATTTATCCCATTCACGAGGGCTCCACCCTTATGACCTATTCCCCTCCCAGAGGTCCTCACCTCCTCATACCACCTTGGGGATTTCCACATAGGAATTTTAGGGCAACACAAACACTCAGACACTGTAGCAGACCCTCTACCTGTGATGCTGCCTACAGAATACAAAGAATAGGAAAGGCCCCCACTGAAGACCAGGAGATAAAATTGACAAACCAGGGCTTTGAGAAGCATGGAAAAGCACCCTGAATGCTGGTCTTGGGTGACACGCGTCAGTCCAGTGTGAAGAGATTCTCAGCCTGGGGGGCAGCATAGCCAGTGAATTGGATTCTGGGAGAGGAACGCCCCATCTGGCCTTCTGTTCCATCCCAGCCTTTCCTGCTTCACTCTGTTGGGCTTGACCACACCCCTGGGGAGCTGGGATTTCTTTCGAGTGATTTTAACACGTGCCCTCATGACTCAGCATTGCGATTTGTATGTACTGTATTACTTAACCCTGACAAGTTGCTTTCCTGAGACACCAAATCTGCAAAGAGCACAGACTCCCTGAAAGAGCCAAGAAGCCATTTGTCCTCATTGTCCCAAACGTGCATCGTGTCCACGGCTCCAAAAAGAATCTGTCAGGAGTCTCTTGGTCATTGCCTTCTAGGAATTTGTGGGCTAAGGTCACGTCCTGCCAGCCCATGTCAATCCAAGTGCAAATACTCCCTCCTACTAAATCCAGGAAACTCTGCAAATCCTGATGGATGGATCTAGAACCTGAGGGCCTGTCACTGTAACTGCGGGCTTCTTCCTCCGCCCTCACCCCCTGTCTTTTTGTTCTGGCTTCAAACTTCAGACCAGTAAATTAGAATTGGCTAAACCAACTTTTTCTGAGTTTTTCACTCTCTTGTTTTTTGCTGTTGTTTTGATTTTTCAAAAGTGTAGACAAAGGGGATTTGGGTTGGGGCGATACCACCATTCTGTCATCTCTCGTTTCATTCTGTTACCAGTTTTTAGAGTCACATGGAGAGAAGCTTTCGTTTTGGAAAAGTATGCGCTTTTAAGTTTTGACACAGAGGATAATTTCAATTCAGCTGTAAACAATTCAAAAGGGTGAATATGAAAAAGGAACTGCCTCACAGGCTTCCCCGGGAACGGGCTTCTTTCCTCCCTTCACAGCACCTGATTTCAGAGACAAAGAGTATGAGGGCATGCTGGGGGCGGGCGTGAAAGGAAAAGGCAACAGCCCCAGTTTCAGCCCCAGACTGTGTAAGACAGCCCCGTGGTGCTCTCCGTTCTCCCATTCCCCCGTGCACTAAAGGATGTGCTCCATCACCCGAAATGAACTGGGAAGGCCGGTTATTGACAGCTGGGCAATTTGCACAATAAAGTTTAATGGTTTCCCTCCCCTTGTACAACTCTGTCAATGTTTTCCACGGGTGATCCCACTGACTCCTCTCCTTCTTCTCTCTCCCTTGAAGCATGCAAACGCAAAGAGCAAGAACCAAACAAAGACAGGAACAACTCCCAGAAGAAATCCCGCCTGGTGTTCACTGACCTCCAACGCCGAACCCTCTTCGCCATCTTCAAGGAGAACAAACGCCCGTCGAAGGAGATGCAGATCACCATATCCCAGCAGCTGGGCCTGGAGCTCACGACCGTCAGCAACTTCTTCATGAATGCCCGGCGCCGCAGCCTAGAGAAGTGGCAGGACGATCTGAGCACAGGGGGCTCCTCGTCCACCTCCAGCACGTGTACCAAAGCGTGAGGGAAAGACTCCCGTTGGGCACAAGTCACCTCGAGCGAGGACAACAGATCCCCAAAGAAAACACAAAGGATAAAGACACCGGATTCTTCGCTGGGGCCCTTCACTGGTGATTCGAAAGCACAATTCTCTTGAAAAGAAACTTCTATTCTAGCTGTAATCATAGGCCAGGTGTTCTTTTTGTTTGTTTGTTTTTAATGGCTATGGAGTCCAAGTGCAAGCTGAAAATGTATCTCTTTGAACCAGACGCTGTCCTCTGAGCACTGAACCAGACGCTGTCCTCTGAGCACGCTAAGCATTCCAGAAACCCAAATGGGGCCTTCCTGTAGCAAGTCAAATCCAGTGTGGTGTCAGCCAAGCTCAGGATTGCTTACAATGTCATCAGTTCCGCTTTGAGTCCTGTCGGCCTCTTGCAGTCAGAGTTCCTATGAGTAGCCATGGGAATTTGGCCTGTGTAAAGACTCTTGAGTTTAGGCTTCCAAGATGCCACAATAAGAGAAGAATCTAGCAACAAGAATGACCTCATTTGTTTTCCAAGTGCTTAGCCTCATTATGCCACAGTACATCAAAGTTCACAGCCATAACATAAAAAAACATCAGAATGGTAATTACTGAGCACAAGTTTTAAATACAGAAGTTAAAAAAAAAAATCCAAGGACCTGTTTTTTCCAACTCAGGCATCTTTCCATCAAATGATTTAGAAAGCTTAAAGTTGATTCAGTTTACAGTTTTCTTTTCTTTACCTCCTGGAAATCTCACATGGTCTTGGATCCGTCAAAAAACAAATCGGTTCACTTGAGCTCAAAGTGTCAAGCACAACAAAGAAAAACAGAAGCAAGGAAGGTTCTGGATTCACTGCATCTGGATTTTCAAGATGCCTATTGTGAAGTCATTAGGGAATTGTTGAGAATATGGCTTCAAGCACATTTTGCAGTTTGCTACAAATTCTGTTTGTACATATGCAGACACACACTCAGGAGGCTAATTTAACTGTTCCGGAACATGGAGCGGATTCAGCATTTTAAAAGATCTAGTTTTTTTAGACCATTAATATATCCTTCTTGGTTTATCAGCCATCTGGTTCCTCCTATTGTACGTCATGACCACTATGTAATTCATTTTCACGCTTCGTGATCTGGGCTGTTCCCCACTTCGTTCCATTAGTAGAGATGTTCTCAGTGTTTTCTAGCGAGAAAAAAAATCAGTCAGTCAGATTCCATAATCGTCACTCATGACTGTCATCCAGCCCTCCCTCCCCTCCATTGTTGAATCATTCTTGCAGAACAGCTTAATACATCTGGAGGAAACACAGCACACCAAAGAAGCAGAATACTGCAAACCAAAGACATTTGTTACTTGCCATTTTTCTAGCCTACAAATACTGTGATTACTTTTAGAAATCAGAAAACCTCTGCAACTCAAATGGCATTCAGCTCTTGCATTTGGCGCATCATCAGGCTGAGTGGACCAGCTACACCAAGGATGTTAGCCAAGCCACCCAGGGAGTGGCTCTGCCACGCCGGCTCTGGTTCCTGGCTGTCACCTTCCCATAGCAAGCAGAAGAGCGCCCACAGAACTCTGGGAGATTGCGACGGTCACGATGTGCGTATTTACCAGTGAATGGCCCCAGATGGGCACCATGGGGGTGTTCAAAGCAAGCCAAACGCTGCAATGATTCTTTACAGACACTTGAGACTGACTTTTTTATGAATTACTTAATCGAAACCAAAGAAACTTTTTCTGCACCTACTTCTGCAACAAATAAAACTGTCCCATTAAAATGAATAAATAAATCCGTAGGTCAATGGAAATCACCACCACCAAGAAGGAAGCACGCCAGTACAAATCAAAAACAAAACAACCAAAAATCAGCGAAACACACTGTGTTCAAACTGACCTCTTGGGACATTTTTTGGAAGCAGATTTTAAAGAAAGGGTTGAGACAAGCGTAGACATAAGGAAGAGCCTCAGTGGCTGCTGCTTCATTTGACAGCTCATGCGGTAATCTTAAAGTCGAAGATTGTCTTTAATTTGTGCCTATGCAGATTTTCAAAAGAACACGGAACAGAGCAACAGAAACCTCAACAGCTACAATACCAAAGATGAGGATTTCTCACACCTTTTGTTTCAGTTCATTATCTCCTCTTGCCTGGCTAAAATACTAATAGCGCCATTGATCTGTATAAAGGTAATCAATTACGTTTCTCTGAGCAACCAAAGGAAAGGGTCATTTATTTGATTTTATTGTTTCCCTTTAATTTTTGTTGTGTGGCTTTTTACCCCAACATGGAATCTCTCCAAAGTTTCCATGGACTCCAAGTTTAAGATGGTGGAATATCGAACAGTTCTCTTCCCTCTGCTCAGCAGAGGGTAGGGAATGGTCTTGTCACTTGAATGTCCGTTGTTTAACCCTTAGACTTGGTTCCTTCTATGTTCAGAGTCTCATCATCAGGGGAGGGAAGGGGAGTGAGGGTCAGGGCTAGGGGTCTTGGTGACGCATCCTCTCCCGAGCCACAGTACCAAAGAGTTTGTAGAGGAATTTACAGCCTCGTCTTCATGTGCTCGCTACATTCTAACTGGGCTTCATTTGGGGGTGGGGGGAAACATGTAAAAATAATTGCCAGTTTCTACTTTTCTATTAGCTTTTTAAAAATCAGCTGTAAAGTTGCATTTCTAAAGAAAGATATATATAATATAGGAATACATATATAGATCAAGTTGACATTGGTGATAACCCCAAATTCTTGCTGTCTAAATTCATGTCTTGTTTTTGTCGAGTGCTTCATTTGTTAAGTATTCAGTTGAGAGTTCTTCTCATTTCTCATGCCATTCCAGGGTTCATTTGCCACTGCGGATGAAGTGGAGTATTCAGATCTATATGAAAGTTTCTGGGAAAGGCTTAAAGTCAGGTTCAAGCATGTCAGCGTTTAACCTGTTGATAAATGGATCCATGGTGTCAGTGAGTTTTATTTGTATGTAGAGTCATCTCTCTATTCTACACCTCAGCCTTGATCAAGGTGGCGAGGGAGGGACATCCATGAGAGTGGGCCCTCCAGTGGGATACTTAACCGCAGTAACTGCTGGAAAGGGTCGGTGGTCCGCTCCACCCGTTATGGGATGTGAGGCCAGCCCAGAAAGCCATTCTCCGGAGCTGCCCTGTCCCATCTGGGTGTTCCAGAAGCCCCCCAGTGAGTAGATCCACCAAAGGGACTTCTCAGAGGGGAAGTCTAGCTCCTGTTGCAATGGGTTGATCAGATTTCCTCAGGGTGGTAATTACCAATTCGTATTGACAAGCCTGTGTGCAACCACAGCTGGCACTGGGGTGGGACAGCAGTGTTGGTGGTGGGCCTGGGGAGAGAGTATCTCGGTCCTGGAGAGAAGGTTTCAAAGCAGGTTTTGGGGAGACTCCCAGATCCTGACCCTGGAGAGCCCCATTGTTGTTCTTTGTGCCACCTCCTTGCTTCCATCCTACAGGTCTCCCTTGGCAGGGAGCAGCCGTGGAACCATGGGAGGTCTGGCACGCCATGATTTTTGTAATTCATCCTGCCTGGGGGATGGTTTCTTGCCTTTTCCCGTGTGTCGTTTTGTCCTTTGCTTGGACTTCATGTGTTCTTTGTCAAAGGACCAAGAAAAGAGCATATTTCAGCAGGGGAACATTCCCGTGTGGATTTATTTCAACCTGGGTAATTTCTGAGTTCTTGTGACTTGTGGCCCATGGAAATGCTTGTTCTTCTTGAGACTGGATTGAGGAACGGAGCCTGCTTGATTTGGTTTGTGCTTCTCTGACACACTAATCTCAGCATTTGGGTCTTTGGCATCCTCTGAAGATATCTAGACCAAAAGAGGCTGTCAAACCAGTCCTCTGATGATCAGAGGAGGATGTCACCATGTAAAAAGAGATGAGAATTTTTCTCTAAGGATTTTTGATAAATCCTTTCCAGATACCAGATAGTGTTATACCAGAGAGACGTGTTTGCTTTCAAAAAAATTATTACATACATATACAAATATATATGTGTATCTATATATTTATGTATCAAAATTTTAAGCCCTGCAGAATTTCAACTTGTTAGAAATCTGAAAGAAAAATTTGCTATATTGAAAGATAATGGAATTCAACCCAGTGAGTTTCCTTAAGGATTTGGAAAAAAATTAATAATTGCAGAGAAAATAACTATTTGGACTTTGTTATAGTTTAAGATCCATTTCCTCAATCCAAGAAAAATTCCAGGCATCCCTCAGCCATCAGCAACCAAAGGGACAGTGTGAAGGAACAGTTCTCTACCAAATTTCACATTCTTGAGGCAACAAAAATTCAAATGCTCACAGCTATTGAGCGGAAAGATGGCTTCCTTTATTTCTCTACATAAGCAAGCTTTGCTTCACTGTGATTTTGGTACTGGGGACATAATTTCTTCATTTCAGGAAATTTTTTTTTTTTTGAATACAGAGCCACTACATTTCTGTTTTAAAGGAAAACAGCAACAACAATAAAAACTCAACACTGATATTTAAAAGCTTCTTCAAAATGTAAAAGAGTGTTTAGGTTGTACCATGCATAAATGTACAGAGCTAGACTGAGCCAGGAAGCATGACACTTTCTCTAGAGAAATCTGGAGAGAGTTGTCTCTATAGCTCTTTTTCTCCTGCAGGCTCTGAGCTATTGTGAACTTAAGAAATATAAACTAATTTTCATTTTAAGCTAAAATAAATCAAAACTAAGGTAAATCTGATAGACACAAATACGTACATTTTTCTAATTCAAACAATGTATGTCAAAGCCAAATATAAATATCTTTTAGATAATTAAGCATTTTACCTTATCTCTGCTGGGCACCCACCTATTCGTGCCAATAAGCTAAAGTTAAACTGATTTTTTTTTTTTGCCTATTTTTTATTTTTTTTGTAAAAATTTTTTTATTTTAAAGATGTGGGGTACAGTTCAGGGTTACATATACAAATGTTCATTATGCAGGTACCCTTTAAACTGATTTTTTAAATCA